AAAAAAAAAAGGGAGTTTCACTAAAACACCCAAAATGGAGGTTGAAATTATAAAAAAACCCAACACCCAAAACACTTTATAAACACACCCAAAACCCATCATTACACACACTCAAAACCCATTTATAAACACACCCAAAAAGTTGACTTTGGGGTTGATTTTGGGTGTGTTTCTATGTTTAAATAGTGCTTGGGTTTTTTTATAAATACATGTCTAGGATTGGGTTTATTTATAAATTTGTATTTTTTTAAAGCATAACCGCCCGGCCATACTGTGCGAGTAGAATTTTTCAAAGGTATAGCCGTACGGCTATAATTTGTAAAGAGAGTTGTTCAGAGTTATAGCCGCTCGGCTATACCCATTGAACATCATAATGTAAATTTCTATTTTCTAATGACTTTAATTTGTAGTCTCAGAATCTCCTACGACATCGAGCAGATCCAAGTTCTTCGTACTCAGCCTTGGCGACACACATTACATTAATCATCATCCTCTTGCTCTGTCCCAATCCCAAGCAAATTGGCATCCACAACATCATCTATCATTGCATCTGGTAATAGTGAGTTTGCAATCCATTGCTTAGAATTCATTTCCCCAATAAACATCTCATCAGTTGGCTTCCTTCTTGGGAATGTTTCCATCACTACAATTCCAAAACTGTACACATCCCTTCTTGTTGAAACCATTCCTTCCAATCCATACTCTGCATTACGAAAAATCGGCCTAGGCGGCCTGGGCGGGTCAGGGCGGCGCTAGGCGGGTCTGAGCGGCACTAGGTGGGTCTGGGCGGCATTAGGCGGGTCTAGGAGGCGCTAGGCGGGTCTAGGTGGCTCTAGGAGGGTCTAGGAGGCTCTAGGCGGGTCTAGGCGGTGCTAGGCGGGTCTGGGTGCCATGGTGGGTCTGGTTCTTTAGGGTTTAGGGTCTGGGTGTGCTAGGGTGGTTGTGGTTCTTTTCTTTATTCTTTAAGCCAACTGCCTAGCGATTTTTCAAACTTATGGCAGCTCATGTTTAGCAAGTTTGAATTTGATGGGAAACTGAATCCTACTTTTGTGGAAGGGGCATTATCAAGCATACGAGCATATCTAACAGAGCCGATTACTCCCAGGTTTCACATTCTTTTCATTCTGTTGGATTATCTTCTTATGAGTAAACATAATTGATCTGCTAGGTAGGTGCACTTTCTGTTTTAGTGTTTAAAGAATCTCTTTGCTTGTGTTCCGTGTAGGTTCGTACACGTAGGTTCTGCAGGAGTTACCCGACCTTCATGAGCTGAATGTTTCATACTAATTCAGTGCAAGCTGTTTGATATTTTTATATATAATCAGTGTATCAAAATACCACTTCTCAGCTCTTTTCTGTTCTTTTTCTTTTTCTGGGTGAGATGTAGCTCTTTTTTTTTTGGTCTGAACCACGAGGTGGTCCTGGATGGGCTCCAACTATGGATGGCACCTTTAAGCCTTAACCACAACCCAGACGAGATGTAGCTCTTTCGATCTTGTACATTGATAAGTTTCGGAGCAGGGGGAGGATTTAATACGGGAATTAAAGTGGAATACTATATACAATTGTGAGGCCTTGTGCATTAACTGAGGAGCTTGCCGGAGCAGATCTCATTTTCGACCAAGGGGACAATATAACGGTATATAATCAAAGAGAAGATCACTATTCTCTCTTTGTTGTATGGAAATTACATTGCAATAAATTTATTATTCTGATGAATCATCAAATTACAGTTTCCATTTTCCTTTTGGGCAGACTCAGACATAGATACAATCATCAATTTGGCTAAAATACAAGAATAAGCACACGTTGTTAGCTAAAATCATGCTAAGAAGACATAAGATTTTGCAGTGCGTTATATCAAACAATTTGGCTTACTTGGATTAGTGACAACGATAAGGCCAACGCCATTGAAATCACAATTAGCGTCCATCGGTCTTATAGTAAAGATTCATGGCAAATGAGGCATGGTTTATGAGGGTATTTGGAAAGTAGCATGAACCATGTTCTTGTATTCACTGCATTCTTTTAATATTCCACAAGTGAAGTTTATGATGTTCTGTAATGCAGAGTCTGGGGTTCCTGGCTTAGACACACACCAAGTATCCTGCAAACCCAACACAGCATAATAGTAATTAATTAAGTTTAACTAAGCATTTGAAATGATTTTGATATAATTAAGAATTAGATTTGTATTCTTACAGAACGATCATGAATTTTCCATTCAATTAATTCCAGTCTTCCCTATCATACAATTCCAAATTCAAGTTTAACAGAAATTTCAGAGAGTGTTAGACTTTTCTTTGTCTGGGCTTGAGCTTTCTTTGGTCATGAATTCAAATACCATTTTCCTTTCGGTCTGACTCAGGCACAGATGCAATCACCAAAACCTGCAACACATGATCATGAACAGTTCAATGGTGAAATTGATGGTAGGGAGCTTAGGCACTGATCCGAGTAGTTTAGATCATTTAAAAAAAAAAATTACTTGCGTAAAGCCGCTCGGCTATACTATTGTGGGGAAAAAAGGGGTATAGCCGGGCAGCTATACTATTAATAAATAAAAAAGGGCCTAGCTGGGCCACGTCTAAAACCAGTACAGCCGGGCGGCTATACTCTTTATTTAAAAATGCCCGAGTATTGCCGAACGGCTGTACTATTTATAAATTTAAAAAAGGGAGCGCCTAGTGCACGTGTGAAAACAAGTATAGCCGTCCGGCTATACTATTTAACTATTTTGAAAAATGCGCGAGTAGACTATAGCCATTCGGCTATACTATTTGCTATTAAAGAAATGTCAAACTCTTCCTCCAAAATTATAACGGGCCATGTGAGTCCACGAACATGGCAAATCACAAAATTGCACTCTCACCACACACACACACGTAGGAAACATATGGCTGCACATACGAGAGAGAGAGAGAGAGAGAGAGAGAGAGAGATAGGAGTTTTATGCAAAGTTTGAGAGGGTGGGGAAGAGGGATGGTGATGCGATGGGTTTTGGGTGGGCGGACGAGGCTGCTGCGCAGTAAGGGGCGGCAAGAAATGAGAAGAAAATCTGTCAACATATATTAATTCTCTCTCTCTCTCTCTCTCTCTCTCTCTTGCTCTCTCTCTCATTGCAGGTGTATATACTCGTAGCATCTGAAAAGCACAGGCTTCTACAGGAACATACCTAAGCGACCAAGATTCTGTAGGACAAATCGGCCTGGGCGGCGCTAGGCTGGTCTGGGCGGCGCTAGGCGTGTCTTGGCGACGCTAGGCTGGTCTTGGATGCGCTAGGTGGGTCTGAGCGGTGCTAGGAGGGTCTAGGCGTCGCTAGGCGGGTCTAGGCGGCGCTAGGCGGGTCTAGGCGGCGCTAGGCTGGTCCAGGCGGCGCTAGGCGGATCTGGGTGCCAGGGTGGGTCTGGTTCTTTTCTTTTGTTCTTTAAGCCTACTGCCTAGCGATTCTTTTTGAAGCCGATATTTCGAGCAAGAACTGTATCCGATGCACCACCTTTTGACCCCAGCAATATTGTGTCATTGCTTTTTCTGGTTCTTTCTTCAGGCTACGAATTTGATCACAGAGTGTGCGTAGGTGAGTTTGGGACAGTGGTGAGAGTTTCTTTTCAAGGAGGGTCCAAGCTTCGTATGCTGAAGTGCAAGAGATTAGGAGGGTTCTGATAGAGGGAGATGCGGTTGCTTATATCCACCTGAGGACTAATTTGTCCTTGGCATAGGTGGGGTTGATTGAGCCATCCTCAAGCCTTTTAGCAGGACGATTTTCATTCTTCACGACATCCTCCAAGTCATGGATTTCCAGGACATCAAGAAATTGCGATCTCCAGGAGAGGAAATTGTTACGATCCATAGGTGTATTGAATATGTGGGAGATATTGAAGGAGGTTAGAATTGTAGCCGTTGGAAAGGGTAGAATTTTGAGAGGTTTGAGAAATTTGGGAAGAGGTTTGAGAATTGACAGAAGAAGGCATAGGTGAGCCTTCATCGATGGCCATAGGAACTGTTGGATCGAGTCTTGAGCCTTCATCATAGCGTCCATCGGTCTTATAGTAAAGATTAATGGCAAATGTGGCATGGTTTATGAGGGTATTTGGAAAGTAGCATGAACCATGTTCTTGTATTTCACTGCATTGTTTTAATATTCCACAAGTGGAGTTTATGATGTTCTGTAATGCAGAGGGTTTCCTGGCTTAGGCACACACCAAGTATCCTGCAAACCCAACACAGCATAATAGTAATTAATTAAGTTTAATTAAGCATTTGAAATGATTTTGATATAATTAAGATGATTTGAAATCTTGGTTTAAATTATACTGTTTGGATTTGAGTTACCTCCTTTTCCTGTGGCAGTGGAGGTCCTGATCCTCCTACAAATTTCGAAAGGGAAACTGAAAGTAAAGTTATAAAAATATTTTTGCATATGAAAATGTGCAAAACTCATTATAGTTATAGACACATACCACTCACAAATTGGCAGCAGGGATTGTAACCTGCAAAAATGGCATAGAACCAAAATGTTTAATTTGCTGAAAAAGAAAGTACAAATTATCATCATGAAATTGAAGGCCTACTTGGATCTGCCAAGGAAATGAGACTAGTATCGTTAAAATGACAATTCCATTGGTTTCTTCCCATCTTCTGGTAGTAAGCATTCATGGCAAATGAGGCATGGTGCACTGGCCTATCCGGGTCATAGCAAGAACCTCCTTTCTTTGTAGGGCTGCAATCTGCATAGTTACAGGCATAGTCCAGAGCTGACTGCAGTGCTTGTTGTGGTGCTGCTGGCTTTGCCACACACCAAGCTTTCTACAACATCATGTATATATGTAAATTAATTGCTAATTCATTTAAGAATCGTTCTTTTTAATTCTTTCCTGTCCATTCACCAACATCAAAATCTCCCCTGCAAAAAAAAAAAAAAACAAGTCATGGATGAACATAGGTGAAAATGTAGAGAGAGAGCAGAAAAGGGGGAAAGAAACTACAACAATGTGGAATGCTCTATAGAGTTGTTGAAAATAAAAACATCAACTTTGCAGTTTAAGAGTCTACGAATCTCTACCGTACCCAAGAAGAAGAACAGAAGCAGTAGAGAAATAACAGGACCTGGCAGAGCTAGCTTACCAATTGCTGCTATATTATACAAAGTAGTCTAATTTCTATGGTTAACTAATTCATGAAGAGGAAGATGGGACATTTGTAGCAGTGCTGCAGAGGAGGACACATAATGATCATGCAAGAACAACTGAGTAACAATCTGGTATGCTCCATTACAGTCAGATTGTATATAGGCTGGCATTTGTACTTTTGGGCCACCTGTTACGTACAATACATTGCTTGCCTCAGCTTCCTTGGTTTGGTTAAACAGAAATTCCAAATTCAAGTTAAACAGAAATTTCAGAGAGTGTAGCACTTTTCTTTGCCTGGGCTTGAGCTTTCTTTGGTCAGAATTCTCCATTAATTTTTTTTTGGAAGGTTGTAACTGTCAACCTTGGATCCTGAGAAAATTTGGAGAGTTGGTGGAAAGAGATGTGAAGACATCCAAACTTTTTTCCTTTTTAAAGACATCGAACTTTTCCCTTTTTCTGTTGCACCAGTTGAGGTTTCTTGCATTAGAATTAGATTTGTATTCTTACAGAACGATCAAGTTGCTTTTTATCATGGTAATTCTAGACTACAATCCCCACAATGGGTTCACCCATTCATGAGTAAATTCAAATACCATTTTCCTTTTGATCATGAACACTTCAATGGAGAAATTGATGGTAGGGAGCTTAGGCACTGATTTGAGTAGTTTAGATCATTTATTTAAAAAAAAAATACTTGATGCTATTTTGGGGGGGGGAAAAACAGTAGAGCCGAGGGGCTAACTATTTATAAATAAAAAAAGGGACCCGCTTAGCTCCTGGATGGCCACGTGTAAAACAGGTACAGCCGTTCGGCTATACTTATTTTATTTTAAAATGCCCGAGTATAGCCGACCGGCTATAGTATTTATAAATTTAAAAAGGGGACCCGCCTAGCGCCGGAGAGCCCACGTGTGAAAATTAGTATAGCCGGCGGCTATACTAATTTATTTTTTAAAATGCCCGAGTATAGCCGAACGGCTATACGATTTCGAAAATGCGCAAGCAGAGTACAGCCAACCGGCTACACTATTTGCTATTAAAGAAATGTCGATTCCTTCAAAATTATAAAAGGCCATATGAGTCCACGAATATGGCAAATCACAAAATTGCACTCTCACCACACACACGTAGGAAACATATGGCTGCACATACGAGAGAGAGAGGGAGGAGTTTTATGCAAAGTGTGAGAGGGTGGGGTGGAGGGATGGTGATGCAATGGGTTTTGGGTGGGCGGAGGAGGCTGCTGCGCAGTAAGGGTTTAAAGTTGTTATAGAAGGGGCGGCAAGAAATGAGAAGAAAATCTGTCAACATATGTTAATTCTCTCTCTCTCTCTCTCTCTCTTATTGCAGGTGTATATACTCGTAGCAGATGAAAAGCAGAGGCTTCTACAGGAACATACATAAGCGACCAAGATTATAAAGTTCTGTAGGACAAATCTACATGGCTTAAAATGGGTCTGGGCGGCGCTAGGCGTTTCTGGGCGGAGCTAGGCGGGTCTGGGCGGGTCTAGGCGGTGCTGGGCTGGTCTAGGCGGCGCTAGGCGGGTCAAGGCGGCTCTAGGCGGATCTAGGTGCCAGGTTGGGTCTGGTTCTTTTCTTTTGTTCTTTAAGCCTACTGCCTAGCGATTCTTCTTTGAAGCTGTATCAGATGCACCACCTTTTGACCCCAGCAATATTGTGTCAATGCAGGCACATTTCTGCAGCCACTTTCTTTTAGTCTATTCTTTCACTTCATTTTCTTCTATGTTTATTGATGGGATTCAAAATTATGGCAGCTCATGTTTAGCAAGTTATTTGATGGGAAACTGAATCTAAAAGAGCATATCTAAAAAAGCCTATTACTCCCAGAGGAAGATCAGGATTTTGTGAGCAGGAGGGATTGCTTATCATCCGTTATGAGATTAGCTCTAGCTTGTTCCGCAGAATTTCCAGAAGAGGATTAACATGGAAGATGTTGTTGTCACACTCAATAAAATCAAGATTAAGTTTTTGAAGGACTCTGCTGGAGTGCAGCCTTAGTTTTTCTAGTGTTTTTTTTTTTTTTTTTCTTTTGTTCTGGATCCATTTTCTTGTTGTTTTCGATCTGAAAAGACTGCATTAATTTGTCATAAAGAGTTGCCTTTCTCCACTAATCTTTTCTTCTTCTGTCTTCATATGGTGGAAAACCCTATTTGTTCCTCCACGATTACCTTACTTACAAACAATGTAAGAGCGTAAGTGGCCATGGCAGAATTTTATGTGCAAAACACATTCTCTCTGGGTTTTGCTGATGGATGCTAATACATTGCAGCACTGATTTAACACCCCAAAAAAAAAAAGCACTATCATAAGTTCATTTGCAACTTTGTTGACTCATCTAATCCAATTTGTGCTTATATAATAATACTATTAACACCCAAAAGTTAATGTGGATTGTATATAATCAGAGATTATATGACCACGGTGCAGTTTTCAATAAATATATATAATAAAAACCAGCACATTTTGCAACGTGCATGCTTACCCTCCTTATCAACAAGACCCCAAAAGACAAAGCTGTGACTGCCATGCTTGAATTTAGAGAATCTCAATCTTCAATTCAATGTCATTTTCTGCTATGCTCAATCCATTCTCTGTTCTGTACACTCTACTTGTTGTGCTCGTCTTTTCAGCACACCAAAAACAACTTCAAAGATAAGCCAACTCATTACTCTGGTTTTTTATATGCAAGTTGTGCATAATGGGCACACTGTATGGTTGAAACCGCATTTGGCCACTAGCCACAAAAAACAGAATAGCACACTTCACAGAGTTGAGAAGGGAGAATTCACACTCCCTACACCCAGTCCAGTCCCCCATCACAAGCCTACCAAGAGTCTTTGTATTTAAGTGGCAGAATGAAAAGGAACATTGTCAACTTAATTTTGATTTGAATTGAGATCTCTTTTATTTTTCTTTGATATATGCCATCATGGTTGGTGGGCAAGCAACTAGCTTTTCAGGATTTTTATACTTGGGGGATGTTGGGTTGAGTTCAAAGTCAAATTCTACTTCAAAGAACTTCCTTTGATCATTGTTTGACGATTGGACATGATGATTAATGAGCCCACACTAGCTTTTGTGGGGACCATTGATCAGTTAAAGCTTTGTATATAAGGGCTTCATTCCTCAATTATCCAAAAGGCTTTATCTATTACAAATGTTGTCTCAAAGATTCAGTTTGGTCGTAGTCCTAGTCTGTTCTGCTCTATTTACTGCTCTATCAGCTCGGCCAAGCTTGGAACTTGAAGTTGAGGCTTTGAAGGCATCCAAGAAATCCATCACCAGTGACCCTTATGGAGCACTTGCAGATTGGACATCAGATTCAAACCATCACTATTACAAATGTTGTAAGAAGCTTGTTAACCTTTTGACCCCAGATTGGCTTGCAGATTGGACAGCAGATTGGCTTTATCTATTACAAATGTTGTAAGAAGCTTGTTAACCTTGAACTTTATGTCAATCAGTTCACCAGAGGCATATTCCTTCTGAGCTTGGAAATTTGGCGCACTTAGAAACATTGAGATTGTACAAGAACAGGCTAAATTCCACAATCCCACTTTCCATTTCAGCTCAAGACGTTAACCCATTTAGGAGTTTCAGAAAATGCGTTAACCGGGACTATACCATCTGAGCTTGGATCTTTAAGATCATTACAAGATTGACCATGCATTCCAATCAGTTTACTGGAGAGATCCCTTCATCCCTGACAAACTTGACAAATCTAACATATTTGTCAATTTCTTAACAGGGGAACTTCCATCGAGTATAGGGATGCTTTATAATCTGAAAAACCCGACCATGAAACACAACCTTCTTGAGGGATCCATTCCATCTAGCATTGCAAATTGTACCCATCTTCTAGTTAGAACAAAGAGAATAAGGCGGCGGTATAGCCGGGTGGTTATACTATTTTGACCACGTGGCGGAATGGCGCGGTCCTCGGCTTTTTTTATAATATAACTAGTATAGCCGGGCGGCTATACTTGTTTTTACACGTGCAGAGCTAAGCGCCAGCGGGTCTTGTATAGCCGTTCGGCCATACGTGGGTTTTTTTTATAAAAAGTGTATCGCTGAAAAAGAGTAAAGCCGCACGGCTATACAGTTTTGACACGTGGCGATGCGGGCACTGGGCATTGGCAAGCGGGTAGGCGTTATTTTATTTATAAATAGTATAGCCGCAACTTAAAAATAAAAATAGTATAGCCGACCGGCTATACCTAAAAAATAGTATAGCCGTTCGGCTTAGTATAGCCGCGCGGCTGTACTCGGTTTTTTAAAAATAAAAAGAGTATTAGTGAAAAACAGAGCGCATATATTTATATAGCAGATGTTCAAAATTCGAAGTTATCAATTTTACTTAATGAAAGCAAACACAATTAGGTTCTCAACAAAAAGAAAAAGAAAAAAAGGCTTTCATGACTTTTTTTCTTCGATTTTAGCATTTTCTCTTTATCGTTTGGAAAATAAGCCCAAACAGAATAGAAAGGAAACTCGAAAAGCACTGAAATTATTATATACGTGAGTCAATTAGCTAACTGGATGTACCAGGCAACCAAAAGGTTAAGCTTACAATTTGGAAGGAAATAAATTATTAAACTAAGAGTCGTATAACTCAAGTGTTTAAGAGTATTTATATTCATAGGCAGAAGGTCTTGATTTTAATCATGTATCTTGATCATAATAATCTTAGATCATTTTCTCTAATTCAAGCCGGGCTATGCTGGGCCCTTTTGAAGTTAAAACACATCAAATTCATGGAATAACTCTCAATCACAGCCGGCAAGAATTGAGCAAGAGAGATGAAAATTTTCCGCAATAATGAAATTATGGTTTATAATGTGCAAAACGTACCATTGTATTTGTAGAGGAGAAAACATCTCAACTCTAGTCTGCTAAATACAATCTACTCGACACACAATTTTGCCTCTTTTTCATGATCATCTACATGAGATCAACGTCCCATGAACAAATCAAACAATCTGTCTATACAACATGAAGTAATAAGTCATAAAAGAAAGAAACACCGGAAAGAGAAACACCACTACGTTTGGCATAATCTCAAAGCTCTCGGATCCTTCTTCGGCAATGGTCTCCAATTTCGAAACATTATTGGAGGGCTTCTCGTGAGGTATAACAAGTGCTGGGGCCACCTCGCCCCAGTTGTGCATGTACTTCAGTTCCTTTGCCATCAAACCCATAATGAATATCTCACTAAATCAAATCTCAATGTGGAAAAATAAAATCAGAGATGGATGTGCTTGATCAATACGTAATATTGCTATTTGGGTTGAAGAGAAGGGTTTGTGATGCATTGTATATATAGATGAAGTGAGTGAAGGTTGAGATGGAACTAGAGGTGCAAAAATGGAATGGTGGGCTGGCCTTGCTATAGCTAATCAGCGGTGGACATGAGGCCACGTCATCGGATGAGCAACGTTTGGAGATAATGTAGGGATGGATAGATTCGAATTTTTACAGTTTTAAGCGGAGTGAAACCCAAAATGGCAAAAGCACGTTACAACGCACAACAGCTAAGCGTGTAATTACCAAATTGGCAAAACAGCGTAACACAAAACCGCGTGTTTAGGTTTTGCGATCACAAGTGGATGGTGTATGATATCCCTAGATTTTGGTTCAAGGAGTTTCTAGATTTTAAAATATTCTATGCTATAGTATAGAGGAGTGAGGACGAGATTGAGAGAGATGATTAGAGGGGGATGAGTAACAAAAGTGAAAACAAAAACTTGAAAGTGAAAACAATTTTAAATTGATTTCAATTTTTCATTTTTGTTTTCACTTTTGTTATTCTTTCCTCCCATCCCCTCTCTCATTTTCCCTCTCAATCCCATCTTCATCCTCATTCTCACTTTCATGCTCCCTCTTTTTTTTCTATATTCTTGCACAAAAAATGAAAAATGAAAAATAAAAACTAAAATTGAAATTGTTATCAAACGGACCCATAATTTGTAATTTATATATGATACTGAAGGAAGTTGAGGTTCCACCCCAAAACCAATTGGCAATGAGGGGAGTAGCCCAACTCCTTATAAACCCAGTGTTTGTCCAACTTTCAAGCCTAACACGTGGACAACACATATTGGGTGACGTGGGAGCACGTGTGGCCATTGGGCCCAACACGTGAAGCCTTGCTCTGATACCATGAAGGAAGTTGAGGTTCCACCCCAAAACCAATTGGCAATGAGGGGAGTAGCCCAACTCCTTATAAACCCAGGCTAGGTCCCTTAACATTTCAATGTGGGACAAACACTCTCAACAGATACAACTAGAATTACCAGTTTACAATGAGAAAAAGGCTTCTAGCGAGGTACCAAAATGATAAACATGGAAAGCGTACAATTTGGCTTCCATGCATAAATATGGAAAGCATATATAAGATTAACAAACCTAATTAAACACTTCATAAAAAGGAAGCATTAATTAGCTAATTATGGGTCTACATTGATTTCTTCCCTAAGCACAGTACTGGCCATGGCATGCAATTGAACTAGTGTGATTGTACGACGACAAAGGTTTGTTCATCACTTGCAGGAAGCATGTCGACGGCGACGACAAGAGCGATGATGCCGGTGAAGAAGCCTGAGGGAGAGAATAGTTTACCTCAAGATTATTCTCAACAATAATATTAATATCATCAGCTGGTTCTTCCTCATGGATTGTGTCCAGAGGCATATGAACTTGCACCCTAGAATGTTTAAGTAGTGGAAGAAAGCGAGAGGGTGCAACTGCAGACAATGGGGTCAGTCGGGAGGTTTCAGCCTTGGAAGCTTGGCTGATGATTGGAAGCCGTGGGAGGCCTTCCAAAGCTGTTTCTGTAGAGTTGGCCATTTTGGCTGATGAGGAAAGGCAGCTATATGTAAGGAATTTGGTATGCTGTGGTCGATTTATATAGAGGGTCTGAGACTTAAGAAAAATATGAATGAATGTAGGAAAATATCAGAAAATATGAGTTGCCTAAGTGAACTTTTTAGATAAAGGTCGTGCTGGTAGGGACCTATATATCATTATCTTTCTGCCGCCCCGTATGACTGAGGGCAGCTTCAACTACAACTTTATTTGAAGAAATAATTTTCTAATTACAGAATAAGCAAACTAATTAGTTCCCTAGGCATAAGCATGCATGCATGTTCCTGTATGTTTCTTTTATTTTCTCTCTGTCTTGTCAAGATATCATTTTGGGCAATTTTCCATGTGAATGATGGAAAAACAGAGGCATTGCTGAAGTTATAAGAACCTTGTTGTCAAGGAGATGAACATGTGAGTACTACTACTTTAAGAATTAAATGCAAATCTTGGAGCTACTCATCAATTGGGGCTCTTTTTTATCCAAATATTTGCGGTCTCATTTGACAATCTGGGTAAGGTGGGCCATGACAGATTGTTGCCCTTTTCTTTCTGGCGTTTTGGAATTTGGGTCTCAAAGAGACTGAACTATGGACCAACATGTGCATTACAAAGTCTCTTCAACTCATTGTCTGGAAAATGAAATTTTTTCTTCAACTTGCTATAGCTTTTTGCATTTAATGGTGCCCTACTTCATACGGCAGAAACGTACGTGAGGAGCAATTGCATTCTTGGTCTTGGATGATGGCTAGCCATGTGTGTGACGGAAACTGGCATTGATACGACAAATTGGCATCGATATCACAAGTGCAGAGAAGCTCTTCCCTCTTGCAGAATGATACAAAGTAGTTAATTTAGATGGATGGATCACATTTTTATAACATTATGTGATAGATCAGATATCGATCTATCAACTTGTTACAACCATTATTATGATCATCACTTGGTAGTTAACACATAACGTATCAGATAATGTGGTTTGCTAAGCTAGACCATTATTTTTCCCCCTCTCATTCTGTCTATATTTTACGATGTAATTCATGTATTCTTAGGTCATGAACTCTTTGTTTTATCATGATCTCTTTGGCAAATGCCAAGTCTGGAGAAAATAGGTGGAAGGAACCAGAAAAGGCCCCTGAATATGGGAATGTCTGATGTAGACGAAAAAGAAAAGAGCGTGGAAATTAGGGTGAATTTGGACCATTAACACTTTTCTCCAAGCATGACTGTTCATGCATCGGATAAGAAGCAATTAATTCACCCAGGAAGAAAGCAAAAGTAGACAAATGTAGGTATGTTGACTAAGACAAAACCAATCTATATATATATATATATATATATATATGAACCAGATGAATGAAGATGATGATGATGGGGCCAAATGTTTTGACATCCATATCCTTCGAAATTTCAATTTCTAGCATGTGATTTGTAGGACCATATATAAATTGATCTGTGTGACTCTCTTTTATTTTGCAACTCACTTTAGGATCATTGGGACAGGTTAGCCTTTAATTTTGGATCTTGGGCTAGCTAGGAAGTCTAGCCAAGGTGATAATCAAGCTTCTATTCATTACATATGCCCAATGACATATAGCCCATCCAAAATGTTCACTTGCAATAAAAAGTAATCGGGAGTTGTGCTATGGTGAATCGCTCACTCTTTGAACAAAAATTCGAGATGCAGACTCACATTGGCGATTGCTGATATGAGCCTCATACTTTACCAATAGTTTGAAATCACCCAAGTGCTAGCAAACAAATTAGGTCATTTTGTCGAGCAAGTCTTAAGTAAGACTACCGAATATTGTACCCTTATCTTGAACGTGAGACTCATATGTAAGAGCTCACATATGGGTTCCACATTCCGACAATAAGCCGTGCATAAGAATTTCTACATTCTTTTGCCAATGCTTCACTCGAAACGAACATAATTTCAAAGCTGATTATTTAACAAATAATCCATCTAGATGTAGCCGCACCAACAAACAAAGCCGATTAATTACAAATGTACTTCTAATAGCTGGGTTCAAACTTTTAACACAACTATAGACTAATTAATCGTAAAGCTTAATTGCAATCCCATAATTTGATGGGCTAACTAAACTGATTATCAAAGTCATTGTCATCCTAAAAAACACGGTACGTACATGCGTACTGCTAAAACAATGATTAGGATATTTTCCTAACATTTTACCCTAATTAAATCTGAGCCAACCAAATGGAGGACCATATTTTCTCGGATCAAAGAAAGGTCCCCAAGAAAGTTTTTGTCAGCATCAATCTGCCGATAAGTAGCTTCATGAACTAACACGTGGCAAGGCCAATGGCTACTCCCAGTTCAACTGGGAAAAGTGCAATTTTGGAAGCCATCGTCCCCAACGCAAAGCATATCTGCGGGAGATATCTGATCTCCATCCAAGCATTGACACCTACCATTGCGTGGGTCCCACGGCAGGCCATCCCAATTAATGGCAAAAGCAAGAGGCGGCACTAGATATTAAAACCTGATTTAACATTCTTGGACTGACCAGTGGCTGAGTGTAAGCCTAATAAATTTAGGTTATGAATTTTCATCTATAAATAAGTTGTGTTCATACGTTCAAATTTGACAAGCGACCCGTTTTCTACAAGCTCATTTCTCTCTTGGGTTTTCTTCTCTTAGCTACTTTTTCACTTCTAAAGTTTTAAATTTCTTTCGTTTTTCCTTTGGAAAAATGGCAAATTCACGGCTAGCAAGGTTCATTACAGAGGTGGCACCACCACAATTTGTGAGTGTCATGAGACACAGAACCTCAAAGGTGTTGGATACAATCAATGAGGAGGAGAGAGAATATGCTAATACCTCAAATGATTCTCTCATCAGTTCATCACCATCCAAGGGCTGTGCTTGTTCCACATCATCACCACCTAGCTTTCCTTCTGGTGCTGCAGCTGCTGGTACAGATTCTAAGTACTTTCTCAAGGAGGTTCATCGGGCTTTTTCCATGTTCGGTCACTGAAACTGAGCCTTGAAGAGATGATCAACAAATAAAAGCTGAAAGCTTGCTCTAGCCTTGAAGGCGTTATTGCGTGACATATATATTTGAGCTGTAGCCGTCTTTTTGAGGCCCTGTTTATATTCTGTCATTTTCTTGTTTTGGTTCAACTAACATGGCCATGAAGAATTAGTGAGATGACCAAACCAGCTGAGCTGATGAGATATGGAATATGAGACATGCATTATGTAACTTTATGCTGTACAAAGTCACAAAAAAAATTATATAGTTCATATTAATATGCTCCTCTTACTTACTTCTGGAATTGAGGATCAATATATATATATATATATATGCTTTGGCAAATCTTAATTATTATCCAACATCTATTTGGGTTAAGGATGATTAATGATTAACACGGAATTATTATTTAATATTTTGATAAGAACAAGTCGGGAAGTTTTCTGAGAAGAAAGCAAATCATCTTTGTTGGCGGACTAACCTAAAATGAGGTGAACGATGTCCTGTCAATTACCTACGCCTATAAGTCCAATAATTAGTTGTGCAATATTATTCATCATCGCTTTAAAATGTGGAATGTCAATAACTTTTGCATGATAAGTTGGTCATAATAAAAGTGATCGTCAATAAGTCTGTCATAATTAACTTATTTTTAAAATTTTATACTTTAGTGTATGAATAATTTAGATATATATTCAAGATATTATATTGGAGAAACGCCGATATGAAGGCGTCTGAAAAAAAAAAACACTATCTAGGTAAAGAAATATTGCGTTTATACGAAGCGATTCAATATTTAGATATGTTTTTAAGATGTTGGAGAAAACTAAAAGAAAGATGCAATATTTAGATACTGAAACACTGGTGTTTGTAATATATGTTTGCAGATGGTCAATGTCATTCTCTCCTTTTCCTTTGAGTGAGTGAGGCCCAACAAACCAAACCTATTTAGATGGTCAAACGTTGACCAAACCAGTCGTCAGACCCAGCGCTCATCGGATAAAGTTAGTTTTTGACAAATATTGAGGAACGTTTGTTTAACCAAGAAAGGCACTAACACGAGGCAACAAGATCACTTCACCAAACGTGCAAGTCCAAGAACCAATAACTTATTGATTGGAATTCTCTTCTTTTCCCAAACACGTACTTTGCTTAATTCCCAATTGACAACTCGTGTGTTGGAATTACAGTGTTATTGTTTGTAATCTTAACCAACATAGTATGATTTTAAAAGTTGGTTACCATTTCCAGCTTTTGTATAGCCAAACTCGTGTCTTAACCAATATACTATAGACACTATTGACAGTTTCGATTTGGACACATTGCATTCTGAGGAAATAACTCTAGTAATTACATGACAGAGCGCATGCCAAATTTGCATGTTTGAACCCTTGCGTATTTCAGGATCCCATTCAACCTTTCACTTGTCATCTTGGCTTTAAGAATTTTTGGATCTGATTTTTAAGAACCCAACAATCTTCTATCGTATGACTAATAACCCGATGTAATTAGCAGTATTTGGGATAACTGGCTGATGAAAGACATCCCCAGAATGCCCCTCTCTGTGCCTATCTCACTTGTCTGTTGACTCCTCCAAAGATTTCACTGCACCAGGTTTTTCGTGACACTATGCTTTCACTCCGATTCCAGGTTATTGTTGATTCTTGTTAGCCATTTTTGGTTATGTAGTACAGAACTAGAAACCCAGAGTCACAGAAAGAAAAGATCACAGAGAAAGTGAAGAGTCTTTCTTTAGGGATGGTAGGCTGGTAATTCTGTTATGCGGGTTTTTACTTCTATTTTTCTGTTTGTCTCAAACCTCATTACAAGCTTATTAAGTGTGGGTTTTGCCTTGGTTAGGTAAATAAAGAAATGCAATCTTAAAAACTAACTGGAAAGCTGCTTATGATGCCATGGTCTTCTGCATTCATCCAACCGTTCATCATGAACTTGTGGAACTCTAGTCTCATCTCATCGTGCTACTTC